AAACAAACTGCATCTCTAGCTACCAAACAAACAAACTTCATCTCTAGCTACCAAACAAACAAACTTTATCTCTAGCTACTAAACAAACACACTTTATCTTCAGCTACTAAACAAATAAACTTCATCGCTAGCTACTAAACAAACAAACTTCATCTCTAGCTACCAAACAAACAAACTTCATCTCTAGCTACCAAACAAACAAACTTCATCTCTAGCTACTAAACAAACAAACTTTATCTCTAGCTACTAAAGAAACAAACTTCATCTCTAGCTACCAAACAAACAAACTTCATCTCTAGCTACTAAACAAACAAACTTCATCTCTAGCTACTAAAGAAACAAACTTTGTCTCTAGCTACCAAGTGAATTTTAGAATCTACCATCTTACAGTGAGTAATTATTTTGGACTAGAAACTCAATTCAGTCGAGGAACTCGTAGATTTATCGAAATTTATGGTGGAGGAAAAGGAAATACTGCTGTCTACCTCTTGTTGTGAAGCATACTTGTATTGCACATAGACACAACACATTTTAAAAGGAAGTACTGCTTCCTACTCTTGTTGTGAAGCATACTTGTATTGCACATAGACACAACACATTTTAAAAGGAAGTACTGCTCCCTACTCTTGTTGTGAAGCATACTTGTATTGCACATAGGCACAACACATTTTAATGTGCATCCTTCTTGTTTAAAATTAAAGTTGGTTAAGTCATAAAGTTATATTGCTTTGATCAAAGTTGATAATTTTTTGGCTATTGTTTAATGGTCATGTTCGAAAAAATATGGAATAACTGATTTAATCGTTTCAGTTGACTAGCCTTTAAATCGTTTCTAATTTCTTATAAAATGCGATTATATACATACCAACTGTAAGACTTCGAAGTCGCTAGAGATATTAACATACTAAGTTTTGTGGCGTTTTTGCTTTGATATTATACCTTTTTGTTGTTTCACTGGCTGATGACGTTGTCATCTGCATTTTTAAGTAGTGGAGAAAATGAAGACCAGTAGACGCCAAACTTTAGGGTTAGCTGATGTGACATAATGTTAAAGCGGTTAAGAGTACAAAATTATACTTCTTAGATAATGTCGTAGCTTTCATTTAAACACCCGAATATCTCCTATCAGTATTACTAGGAAGATCTGATGATAAAGTTGTTTTCCACTTCTACTGTACAACAGTGCCTACATGTTAACGTTTTCCGGCTTCTCCCATCCCCACGGCAAAGGTTTAACAGCGAAAGTCAATCTATCTTTTCCCCTAAGGACTGTCGTATAGGCTGTCTTCTCTAATCTCTAGATACCGTTCTACTTTGTGTCTCTGTAAATTTAGGCCAAGAGTCAGTATATAAGTTTTGGCTAACTCTTAGGTCAGAGTCAAAGATATTTTGTTTTTCGAGAGAAATTGACTCAAACTATGATCAGTAAGGTAAGACAATTTTTATTCTTCTTTCATAATATCTATTTTGCAGCTTTATTTGGTACAAAATTCTGTACTCAGAAGAGACTGAAGAGAGATGGTATACATACAAAATGTACATTTTGACAAACTGTGTATAATCTCATTACACGTTCATAGCGCATGACGCTATATTTGTGATACTGCATATATTTAATTTTCCATAAAATGGAGCCATGTCTGGCCTAATGGTTAACGAGTTAAGCTACGGATTCAATAGTACAAGGCCCGAGACGTGATTCTACTGAATTCGTTCCAATCTTCCTGTTATAGGTGTGTTGTAGAAGTGACATTCAATC